CTCGTCAAGGATGTCGCCGGCCAGCACCACCTCGTCCACCTCCGCCTGGCTCTCGGGGAGCACCTCGGTGACAAAGACTCGGCCATCCACATACCTGGGGGTGCGGCCGAGCCCCAGCTCAGCCCCGGGGACCCAGCCTGGCTCCCCCAGCCCTTTCATACCATCAGCGATGTTTCACCAATACAAGGAGGCAGGGAAAAGCCAGCCCACAGACAGCAGATAGGGGTGAGGCTGAGTCAATGGGGAGAAAAGCACCCAAGAAAGCCCCGATGCTCTCAACAGGGTATTTATCTCCCCTTTTTGAGGGGTTTTGAGTGCCGTGGTGTCAAGATCCTGCCAGGGAGCGGAGAGAAGGATCGAGGGCTCCTACCTGAGCACCATCCCCAGCGCTCGACATGGGACTGTCTCGTAAGTGATGCACACCTGGAAGAGACCAGCTGGTGATAATGGCCTTGGCAATGGCCACAGGACGCCCAAGGAGCATGACTAGGACAAGGGGGAGGATGGGGACCCTTTGCCCTGGACCATTTCTGATGCCAAACCAGCCCTTCAGAAGCCCAGGGAGAGGCCGGTCCCCAGTGCCCCAGGCTGGGCTGGGACCATCAGTGGCTCCTCGTCCCTGTCCTCTCCTGGGATTCGGCTGTGCCCAGACCCTGGAGGGACAAACCTGCTAGATGGATGGGATGGCAAAGCAGCAGGTGAACCCCTAACTCAGCCATGAGCCCTCCTCCCACGTGTCCCCACACAGCTGGGGGAGCACTGCCATCCCTCCCCAAAGCCGCTGCCATTTGCAGCAGCCCTTACTGTCACATCGCATTAGCCAGCGACCCAAAACGTGGCCAGTTCAGCCGCGAGCACTTGCTGTTAGAAATGCCCAAAAGCCAGCGGGATCCCAGCCTCCGCAGCAGCGCCATGGCTCAGTGCATGCTGTAACCAGCCCTGAAGCTGCCTTGAGCTTTTTTGGGATTCTTTTGGACTAAAAAGGCAGTGAAAGGGATGCTCTTCATTTTTAAAAGACATCAAGGCATCCCCGCTGTTCTCAATAAATGCACCCATATTTCACTGAGCAAAACCGAGAGCAAAACCAACTGATGCGTAATCTGTGTCAGCCCAGGGAAATGGGGATTGTTTGGCAAGAAATCAGGGAAGGGAGCATGGGAAAACTTCATTTATGTCAGCGATTTAAGCCTGGGTA